GCTCTTGAAGAAGAAGGATATTATCGGCCATCAAACGACCATGGACAAAGGCTCCTTGGGAGGAGTCAATGATAGAAGGGAGGCCGATATTAATCCGATTGGCCAGGATTTTTGAGATAACTTTATAAATGACCTTACAACACGCGATCGGCCTAAAATCACCCACTCCGGGAGCAGAGGAGGACTTGGGCACGAGAGCAAGATTGGTGTGATTTAGCTCTTTGAGCATTTTCCCTTCAGCGAAAAAATCACGAACAGCATTGCAAACATCATAACCTACAATGTCCCAAGCGGCAAGAAAGAAACCCACCGAGTATCCATCACTCCCCGGGGCTTTGTTAACATCCATATTCTTCAGAACGGAGTGGATTTCATGGCTGGAAACCGGCCTCAAGAAGGATTCATGGAGATCAGTCGAAATGCAAGGGCCATGAAGTATAACATCATCATCAATAGCATCGACAGTAGAGCTGGTTCCAAGAAGATCTTTGTAGAAATGCTGGAAGTCAGTCACAACCTGATCGAAAGAGGTGGTCGATGAACCATCAGCCCTGGTGAGATTTGCGATATTATTCTTCTTCGAATTTCGTTTGATCATCGAATGGAACAGTTTAGTGCATTTATCATTCCCGACTAAAAACTGCACTTTTGTTTTGAGCAACAAAAGAAGCGGCTGCCTGCTGCAAAAGAACAGCTGTGTTCCGGAGGCCAGATAAGTAATCCGAGGAGAAGAGGCCAGGAGCTGCATCCGATTCAATCTGAGCCTGTTTTAGAGCATCACTTGCTGCTTGAGCGCGCTCCAGAATGTGCGAGAAGTGGGCTTTGTTGAGGGTAATCAGATCCTTCTTGAGGTGCTTAAGCTTGGTCACCAATTTAAATTGAGCAGTACCCTCCACAGCAATGTTCCAAGCTGCTCGAACAATGTCAGAGAAAGAGGGATGAGAAGTCCACATATTAAAGAACTTAAAAGACGCTCGTTTCACCATCGGTTCAGCAAATATAGAGGCAACTGCAGGAGAATGATCTGAAAGGCTCGGGGCCAGAAAGTTGACTGAGCTCCAGAAATTTGCAGCAAGCCAGCCATGGTTAACCATAACCCGATCCAGCTTCGCCCATATATTATTGTTCGACCAAGTGTACCGACAACCAGCAGAAGGGAGATCAGTTAGACCCAGCGCTGTAACGCAGGAGAGAAAATCTTTGTAATCATAGGGACGAACCACTCGACCCCTAACACGATCAGCAGCACTCAGGACTGAGTTAAAATCGCCAAGTACCATCCAGGGTTCATTTATAGCGCTACCAATTCGTAATAGACTGTCCCAGAGTGTTCTGCGTTTCACCAAAGAATTAAAACCATAAACGACAGTGACGACAACAATAGATGAGGTGACTTTGCAAGCAACTCTGAGGGAGATGCACTGCTCCTCAATCTCAAGAGTATCGACTGTGATAAACACTGGATCCCAGAAGATACCAATACGACCCCCTTTCACACGACTGAAGTTGTGAGTAAACTCCCAAGATGGAAGTCTTCTACGAACAAAATCAGCAAAATAAGTATCATTACATTTAGTTTCCAACACTCCAAAAAGATGAATGGAGAGATCCTTAATTAATTTCACCAACTCGATTTGTTTGGGGGTTTGGTGAATCCCCCTAATATTCCAAACTCCAATCTTCATTTGGAGTTGGAGTTGTGCCTTCCGCGATTTTTCCGATTTCTTCTCCCATTTACATTAGTATTCCGTTGCGCAGGGAGCTTATCATTAACAGTTTGGGGGCTATTTTCGTCCACAAGGGAGTGTCGCTGCTCTTTTCCATTCAATGTCTGAGGGGGATCAGCAGCAAAATCGTCCAGCGGAGAGCCTCGTAGTTCTGAATTATACATCATCTCAGAGCTGGACTGCAAGATATCTGGATCTGCTTGACTGATGTTGGTCTGGGAATCAAAAATCAGGACAGCAGCTTCAGTATCGACTTTCAGCGTGTCACTAGAATTTCCAGAATTTACATTATCAATTTCCAGAGGGTCTCTGGAATTAAGAGCAGATGATTTTCTGTGAACATTTAAAGACTTGGCAGACTGTATATTCAGAGATTCTGGGGGACTTTCCTGGTCTGATCCAAGGCAGGGGTTGTCACCAGGATGAACAAGGATTAGGCACATTCTGTTTGCTTGAGGAAGCAAGGCAGGGGATGTCACCAGATGTTTTCCGCTGGACCAGAGCAGAAGAACAAGGATCAAGCACTTTCTGTTTGCTTGAGGAAGCTACCACTGTGTCGAGGGCAGAAGGCTCTTTCAGTTTGCTAGAAGAAGCTTCCACCGCGTCGAGGGTAGTGAATCGATTCGAGACAGGGAGGACTCTGGATGGGGTAGCAGCGTTTGTTTTTATAGGCTGGGCACCGCGAGCAAAACCACCCTGAAACTTTCTTCCAGCCTGCACCCGGGATTTCGCAGCAGCAGCAATTGATTTTAGTCGAGCTTGCCTGTTGTCTT